GTGGGATGTTACCGACTGGTGGTCAGACAGTGTACAACTGATCATTAAAGAAGTAATTCCAAGGGTAATACAGGACAACAAACAATTTTTAGAGAATGAAAGTAGACAACTTACTTGTGCAGTCAAAGTTTTTTCTGCTTTTAAAACTGGCAAATGAAGGCCCCCTCCAGTGGGGGACTGGCGTTCAGTCCGACTTTCCTTCTCCATTACTGGCTAAATAAAGGCGTCAAATTAAAACTTACTTTCTTGCTGTTTTTAATAATTAAGTGCACAAACAATTACATCTTGCTGCAAAACAATAATAAAAACAAAGTACTTTTAAACAGGCAACTCAGTTCACCAGTCTGGATCGTTACAATATTTTAATAAAATATTGTAACCACTACCATAATGTAATACTTTATTAGTATAAAATAATCATTGTATGTGAGCAACAATGGGTAAAAAAAAAAAACCATCAAAGTCACTCAGTACTTACTGCCTGCACATTTGGATGTAGTGGAGGCCTCCCTGGCCGTCTTTTCTCTGGTGGCCTTCCAGGGCCACTAGTGGTCTCTGCCGGTCTTTTTGTGGGGACCCGAATGGGGGTCGAGTCTACTAAAGGTAAAGGTTGTGCTTCTTTCTGCTTCTCACTGTTAGAAGACACAACAATAAGTATTGTTGTATTCTCATTCTTCAATATCTAACACACAATACAGTGTTTTGTGATTCTTATCATGATAGTAATTTAAATCCGTACACAGTGAATGTACTAGGGTGTGTTTCTTAAAAGTAACTAGAACCCTAAGAGTTTATGTTTTGTTTTATTCACCAAGAAAAATAAACTGTGTGTGATAAAGAACTAATATATATATTATCATGTTTAATTATTGTTGCAGTCAAGATAAAAAAGAGTTTGTTTGTTTTTAAAGTGTTAGTCCATTTTGTAGTAAGTTCACTGTGTACGGATTTAAATTACTACCATGTTTTTGTAGTAAGTTCACTGTGTATGGACTTAAATTACTACCATGTTTTTGTATTAAGTTCACTGTGTACGAATTTAAATTACTACCATGTTTTTATAGTACATTCACTGTGTACGGATTTAAATTACTACCATGTTTTTGCTATCATTACACAACAATATGTTTCTTCTGTAAGGAACCTCAGTTATCATTCAAGTAAGCAGCATCAGTTTAAAAACTGAGTGAATTTTAATACCTTTCTATAGACACTGTGGTCAGAACTCGTTCCATGGCAGCAGCTGGTGATGATTGGATATCCTGGAAAAATAAAAACAACCATCTGATTATGAAATCCATGATTTATAGTGTTATTAAACACCTGCATCCATTGAAGTGGTTCATAAACTCAATTGCTACTTCAACGTGTCTTATATGTCTTGGTGAAAACAAACTTATTTCATAAACTCAATTGCTACTTCAACGTGTC